TTGTAGTCCTTTGAAAAGGATAATTTTCAGTGAAAGATTCAGCTTTCTATCTATAATAGAAAAAAAGTTATGACTTTTCAAAATTTTCCAAAAAAATCATAAGGGGGGTACCTTCCTACTAAAACGATGAAATTTCAAATTTTTTTTTGGCGAGATTTTGTGTCCTAATGGTCCCTCGTGATACCCTGAACTCCATAAACTAAATTATTCTCAGATTTGAAGCCAAAATCTATGAAAAAAGGCACTCAGAAAAATTGAAAAATTGATAATCACCACAATTGCTTAGCACGATTTTATCTCAGGAACTATAAGTGTCAATGAGCTGAAATTTTCAGGGATTGTAGTCCTTTGAAAAGGATAATTTTCAGTGAAAGATTCAGCTTTCTATCTATAATAGAAAAAAAGTTATGACTTTTCAAAATTTTCCAAAAAAATCATAAGGGGGGTACCTTCCTACTAAAACGAGGAAATTTCAAATTTTTTTTTGTCGAGATTTTGTGTCCTAATGGTCCCTCGTGATACCCTGAACTCCATAAACTAAATTATTCTCAGATTTGAAGCCAAAATCTATGAAAAAAGGCACTCAGAAAAATTGAAAAATTGATAAATCACCCCAATTGCTTAACACGATTTTATCTCAGGAACTATAAGTGCAAATCAGCTGAAATTTTCAGGGATTGTAGTCCTTTGAAAAGGATAATTTTCAGTGAAAGATTCAGCTTTTCTATCTATAATAGAAAAAAAGTTATGACTTTTCAAAATTTTCCAAAAAAATCATTGAAAAATTGATAAATCACCACAATTGCTTAGCACGATTTTATCTCAGGAACTATAAGTGTCAATGAGCTGAAATTTTCAGGGATTGTAGTCCTTTGAAAAGGATAATTTTCAGTGAAAGATTCAGCTTTCTATCTATAATAGAAAAAAAGTTATGACTTTTCAAAATTTTCCAAAAAAATCATTGAAAAATTGATAAATCACCACAATTGCTTAGCACGATTTTATCTCAGGAACTATAAGTGTCAATGAGCTGAAATTTTCAGGGATTGTAGTCCTTTGAAAAGGATAATTTTCAGTGAAAGATTCAGCTTTCTATCTATAATAGAAAAAAAGTTATGACTTTTCAAAATTTTCCAAAAAAATCATAAGGGGGGTACCTTCCTACTAAAACGATGAAATTTCAAATTTTTTTTTGGCGAGATTTTGTGTCCTAATGGTCCCTCGTGATACCCTGAACTCCATAAACTAAATTATTCTCAGATTTGAAGCCAAAATCTATGAAAAAAGGCACTCAGAAAAATTGAAGTATTGATAAATCACCACAATTGCTTAGCACGATTTTATCTCAGGAACTATAAGTGTCAATGAGCTGAAATTTTCAGGGATTGTAGTCCTTTGAAAAGGATAATTTTCAGTGAAAGATTCAGCTTTCTATCTATAATAGAAAAAAAGTTATGACTTTTCAAAATTTTCCAAAAAAATCATTGAAAAATTGATAAATCACCACAATTGCTTAGCACGATTTTATCTCAGGAACTATAAGTGTCAATGAGCTGAAATTTTCAGGGATTGTAGTCCTTCGAAAAGGATAATTTTCAGTGAAAGATTCAGCTTTCTATCTATAATAGAAAAAAAGTTATGACTTTTCAAAATTTTCCAAAAAAATCATAAGGGGGGTACCTTCCTACTAAAACGATGAAATTTCAAATTTTTTTTTGTCGAGATTTTGTGTCCTAATGGTCCCTCGTGATACCCTGAACTCCATAAACTAAATTATTCTCAGATTGGAAGCCAAAATCCATGAAAAAAGGCACTCAGAAAAATTGAAAAATTGATAAATCACCACAATTTCTTAGCACGATTTTATCTCAGGAACTATAAGTGTCAATGAGCTGATATTTTCAGGGATTGTAGTCCTTCGAAAAAGATAATTTTCAGTGAAAGATTCAGCTTTCTATCTATAATAGAAAAAAAGTTATGACTTTTCAAAATTTTCCAAAAAAATCATAAGGGGGGTACCTTCCTATTAAAACGATGAAATTTCAAATTTTTTTTTGTCGAGATTTTGCGTCCTAATGGTCCCTCGTGATACCCTGAACTCCGTAAACTAAATTATTCTCAGATTTGAAGCCAAAATCTATGAAAAAAGGCACTCAGAAAAATTGAAAAATTGATAAATCACCACAATTGGTTAGCACGATTTTATCTCAGGAACTATAAGTGTCAATGAGCTGAAATTTTCAGGGATTGTAGCCCTTTGAAAAGGATAATTTTTAGTGAAAGATTCAGCTTTCTATCTATAATAGAAAAAAAGTTATGACTTTTCAAAATTTTCCAAAAAAATCATAAGGGGGGTACCTTCCTACTAAAACGATGAAATTTCAAATTTTTTTTTGTCGAGATTTTGTGTCCTAATGGTCCCTCGTGATACCCTGAACTCCATAAACTAAATTATTCTCAGATTGGAAGCCAAAATCCATGAAAAAAGGCACTCAGAAAAATTGAAAAATTGATAAATCACCACAATTGCTTAGCACGATTTTATCCCAGGAACTATAAGTGTCAATGAGCTGAAATTTTCAGGGATTGTAGTGCTTTAAAAAGGATAATTTTCAGTGAAAGATTCAGCTTTCTATCTATAATAGAAAAAAAGTTATGACTTTTCAAAATTTTCTAAAAAAATCATAAGGGGGTACCTTCCTACTAAAACGATGAAATTTCAAATTTATTATAGGGCAATCCAACGACTTGTCAAAATGGAATTTAAAATGGAGGCCAATGCCTGTTTTCTACTAATAATTTCTTAAACTAAAAACTTTCTATCTTAGAATACGAAAATTATCCTCTCAAACACTAGAAAATCATCTAAAAGCACCACAAAATACACAAAAAACAGTTTTTTGATGAAAAATGTCACGATTGCTTGAATTAAATTCATGGCGCCAATTTTTTGGCATTGGACATGCATTGACCACCTTTTTGTTTGGATTGCCCTATAGGATTTAAATGGACATCTATCATAAAAAATTGGAATCGACGTATTTGATAACTATTATTAGGTCCATCAAATACGTTGTTTTCCATGATTTATGATGAATGTTCACCTAAATCCCATATATTCATATTTAAAAGAAATAAGGGGTTGGGAACAAGATGGCGGTGTTTTCAATATAAATATATGGGATTTTAGAACCAATCAAAAATGAGACAGCAAGGGCGCGTTCTTTTATTCAGCAATGGATCCATCTGCTGCCACCATTATGAGATAGACATTCCAATTTTCTATGAGCTAGACAAAGAAAGGCTGATCACTGATGGATCAACCGCTGAATAAAAGATAGCGCCCCAATTGTCGCCACTGTGGGTTGTTGAGTCACTGTAGCCCTCAATACAGTCTATTACCACAGTGGCGACAATTGTTGTCTTATTTTTGATTGGTTCTAAAATCCCATATATTTATATTGGAAATGCCGCCATCTTGTTCCCAAACTCTTGTTACTTTTAAATATGAATATATGGGATTTAGGTGAACATCTATCATAAATCATGGAAAACAACGTATTTGATGGACTTACTAATGGTAATCAAATACGTCGATTCCAATTTTTTATGATAGATGTCAATTTGAATCCTATATATTAATATTTAAAAGTAACAAGAAGTTGGGAACAAGATGGCGGCGGGACCTCTATTGTCGTCACTGTATGTAAAGGTTTATTTAGTCACTGTACAATACAGAATACAGACAGTACAGTGACTCTATAACCCACAGTGGCGACAATTGCTGTCTCATTTTTGATTGGTTCTAAAATCCCATATATTTATATTGAAAACATCGCCATCTTGTTCCCAACCCCTTATTACTTTTAAATATGAATATATGGGATTTAGGTGAACATTGAACATTCATCATAAATCATGGAAAACAACGTATTTGATGGACCTAATAATGGTCATCAAATACGTCGATTTCAATTTTTTATGATAGATGTCCCTTTAAATCCTATATAATTAATATTTAAAAGTAACAAGAGGTTGGGAACAAGATGGCGGCGAAACCTCTATTGTCGCCACTGTATGTAAAGGTTTATTTAGCCACTGTAACAGACAGTACAGTGACTTTATAACCCACAGTGGCGACAATTGCTGTCTCATTTTTGATTGGTTCTAAAATCCCATATATTTATATTGAAAACACCGCCATCTTGTTCCCAACCCCTTGTTACTTTTTAATATGAATATATGGGATTTAGGTGAACATCCATCATAAATCATGGAAAATAACATATTTGATGGACCTAATAATGGTCATCAAATACGTCGATTTCAATTTTTTATGATAGATGTCCATTTGAATCCTATATATTAATATTTAAAAGTAACAAGAGGTTGGGAACAAGATGGCGGCGAAACCTCTATTGTCGCCACTGTATGTAAAGGTTTATTTAGCCACTGTAACAGACAGAAGCTCAAAGGGACATCTATTGAACAAACGCTGAAACTGATTATTACGGAAATCTGTAAATTTTAAACACGATTTGAAAAATAACATCTTCTGGCATTCGGAGGGCCCCCTGGATTGGAAGCCCTAGACGGCTTCTGAAAAGGTGGTGTTTGCTTTTACACGCCCTGCGGTCTTTTCTTCTTGCAGAACCCACAATGCGAAGTACACCGTGGCATTAAGGCAATACTTTTTTAGTACATTCTCTAAAACAACGCTTTTTCAGATCTCGTTCGCATCTTTCTCTTAGCGAAACGCGAAAGCTCCCGAAGTAGGCGACATCTTTGATCAACTTTGGTACTGAAAACTACAGAATTTTATTTGTTTTATGTACAGTGTTTTATGTATTGTTTTTGCTATTATAAAAAAAAATAGTCACTTTTCCTCTCTATGCTATATACTTATTCTAGAAACCGAAAATTAGCATACAAATTTGGCAACGTCGCTTAAGGCTCGGCTGAAGTGATAACCTTTATTTGATTTGACAGTGACACGCGTCACGTCGGTCACACGTCAAAAATTTGCCATTACAAAAGAAAAATATAAAAAGAAACCATCAAATCAAATCAAACCAAAAAAAGTTAGACCAGATATAAATACAGTATACCAGTGGATTTCGTTTTTTCCACTTATTCGCAAATCCTATTTTCCGTTAATTAATTCAAGCATCAGTGGGAGTTCACCAAAAAATCCCCATTCATATTCACAACAAATGTGCTTGTGGGATAGGATACAACGATACGCAGTTTTATTTTTATTTCTATTCTAGTCTAAGTACAGTACCGTACAGCTTGTCGTGTTTGGTGTTTTTCTTTTTTATTTCGATTTATGTGAGGTGTGAGGCCAAGGTTTTGAACGAGTATCTGCGGATAATTATGCCCTGGGACTAGGACCATTAGGAAAGTAAGAATAATTTTTCTTTTCCCTATAAGTACGTTAACCACAAAGCAGACATGCATTTTCCTTCAAACAGCTATACATTTCACAAAATGTAGCTACTCAAAAATTTGATAACCTCGAACCTCACATTTTTTCACACTATATTCTACTTCAGAAAAAAATAAGAAATTGCAAGGGACAATATTTCCAAACAGGTTTATGAAATTTGAGGTGCCCAAGTTATGACCTACCTACGTATTATCTAGATGAATGTCTACCTACAAGGACCCTGGCCTGGCTGCACTGCAATCAAAACATAGTATTAATTTATTAGGCCAAGTCAATAAAGGAAGTAAATCGTCGCCCTAGTTGTGAATGGTCGTAATCCACAAAATGTTCATTCTTGAGTTGTGACTGTTAACCAAAGACGTTAACATACTTAAAAATGTTTAACTTTCATGTTGGTGGATAGATCTAAGCCAGTGATCAATATTTGACCTTGTTATAGTATATTTGCTAATTAAAAAGCATATTTTCACCAAAAACAAAAATTTTAAATGCAGTTTACTCACAACTTACCTTGAGTGGATTACGATCATTCACAACTAGGGTGACGAAATGTAAAAAAACAAAAACAATAATTGAACATTACTTACTTAATTCCAGGTTCTGAGAAATTAATTTTTGTCTATGATGTATTCATATTCATTTATACACCCAACAGGAAAATATCATTCTAAGTAACTCATTTCAATTTCAAGTTAGTTCCTTTCCAAATACATTAGGGTCTAATTATGGAATGGCTGGTAAACATCTGGTTGTTACCTAGCAGGTACTTTCTATGCACTAGAGATTAAAAAGTACCTGCTAGGTAACAACCAGACACTTACCAGGTGGTCCATAATTTGGCTCTTAGTGTGAGAAAATGGTCACGTTCACCAGTACTCAACATGTTGAGTGATTAGTTAACAGCTTTGTTGAGAACAGATGAAAATCAGCTCTAGACCAATCAAAACTGTTCTTCCTGGTGTATTCCACTTGTTGGAACAAAGCCATTTACTAATCACTTAACATGTTGAGTACTGGTGAATGCGACCTATGCATCTTTCAAAACTGGTATTCCAACAATAAACTGACATGTTTTGATTGTTGATTTGAACCAATCAGATTGGAATTACGTGATAATTTGCACTACATCATTTCTACTTTTAGTTCAAAATAGATCAAATTGATTTCAAAAAGCATCAAATGTATTTCAAAATAACAACTTTAATTTTAAAAAATATCCAATGTATTTCAAAATCATCAGTTAAATATCAAAAAGCATAAATTGGATTTCAATCTTTATGAATTTTACGAGGAATTTTATTTCAAAATACACCAAATGTATTCCAAAATAACCAAATTTATATCGAAATACATCAAATTAGTGAAATGTATCCAAAAATGGTCAGTTTTATTTCAGAGATTACCAATTCGGTTAAAAAATAAAGTATGTGTTTATATCGTACAGTTAAAAAAAATCAAATTATAACCAGACACCCTGTATAGTTTTTGATATAAGCAATGATGATTTTGAAATACATCTGATTTTTTTGGAAGTATAAATAATACAGTTTGAAATACATTTGATCAATTTGAAATACAGATAACATATTTGAAAATAAAAGTGACAAATTGGAAATTAAAATATCAATTTTTGAAATAAAAGTGATTATTTTGAAATACATTTGACCGATTTTGAAATACTGTTGGAAATGGTGTAGTGCAAATTATCAGATAATTGCATATATGCTTTTCAGATATTATTGGCGTAGCATTATCCATGGAAATTTGACAGGTTGACCCTCGTATAATAATGACATTTGATGACAAAGTATTTTTTTCTATTTTGGTGTCATATCGAAGTCTTTTCGACACTAAAAGTAGTTTTGAAAAGAAGCTCTTTGTGACACTCCTTTTTTACTTATCGGAGGTTGGTAACACTGGCTGACTGATGGCCATCGAACTGTCATTCGTGATTTTATAATAGAAGATTTCTATATTTGGCATGTAGTGTTACCAACCTAAATATATGAAATCGAAATATGAGAATAAAATTTCCAAGAATTTTATTTTATTTTTTTAATTAAACAATACCAAAATAGAAAAAATAGTATAAAATACTCGTTTCATAAGACATTTTATCGCACTCGCCCTTTAGAAAACTCGCCTGCGGCTCGTTTTCTAATATAGGGCTCGTGCGATAAAATGACGTCTTATGAAACTTGTATTTTAATGTACTATTTTGAATTTCAGGGTTATAAAACAGAAAGCCGAGTTGCCAGAATGTGTAAAATATCTGAGAAGATTCAATTCCAAAACATTTTTTCAAATTAATTTAAAAAAAATAATAATAAAAAATGGGTACCTACTTAGTAAATGGATCCAACGCAACCATAACGATAAGCTTAACAGCATAACTATGTTTTGGCAGTTACTCTTTTTTCAGGTTTGGTCGTTTGGTCCAACAAAAATATTGCTTGCTGGTTGTAAGAAATGGCTTTACATCTATATTTACACTATACCTACCCAAATATATCTGGTAGTTGAATGCTACGCCAATAATATCTGAAAGGCAAATAGTAACTAGTGCGAAAACTGGTGTTTTGATATTTTTTGACAAAAAATTAAAATTTTTGATTTATGAAATTCTCTCATTAAATACAACTCGTGCAATGGAAATATATTTATAATTTTCGACAAATTTGCACTCATGCGTTTTTAACTGAAAAAGGCACTTGTGCACTACGTGCACTCGTGCTCTATTTCAACTAAAAATGCATCCAGGAAAATTTCCCAAAAATTATCAATAATTTCCATTGCACTTGTTATATTACTATTGAGAATTTCATACATCTGTCAAAACTGGTATTCCAACAATGAATTGACATGTTTTGATTGTTGATTTGAACCAATCAGATTGCTGCGTTTTTAACTGAAAAATGCATTCGGGCAAATTTCCCAAAAATTATCAATAATTTCCATTGCACTTGTTATATTACTACTGATAATTTCTTGTGCTACTTATTATTCCATTTTATTGACTTTGCTTCACAAAAAAGAATAACACAAATTATGTTTGTTGTCAACACTTTGTAGGGCTGTGACAAACTGTATGTATTCGTTACCGAGTAACGAGTATTCTTTCGGATTTGGAGTACGGATTCGTTACTGTCGGCCACTTTTCGTTACTTGTATCAGTCGCATCTCTACGGAATTTTTTGTTTTTCGAACATCAAAGATTTTCCATATAAATTCTATAAACAAATTTTTGAATATTTTTAAACAAGTGTTTGGGACAGTTTGCATATATTTATTATTGCCAAATATTAAAAATACGAATCCTGGCAAAACTTATTCGATAATCGGAACGAATGCGAATGGCGAATGAGTCACTTTTCTACTCTTTCGCATATGTAGGTTAGGTATCTTTCCTATCCTCCGAATGCCAGAGTAACGAAACATCTACAATGCCTACTTTCTATCACATTTTCGATACTTACTTCCAGTATGGGGTACGTGTGAAGTTGGGGAATTTCAAAGGGTACACGTTCTTCAAAATAAAGTTTTAGAAGTTTTATTTAATTATGAAAGGCTAGCACGCACAGAGCAACTATACAAGGAGGTAGATGTATTACAACTCAACAAGTTGAAACAGTGCAAATATATCTATAACATAACACATAATAATCAAAGATCGAATTCTAACATATTGTATATACTTTGTGTCCAAAAAGGGTTAGAGCTGGAGCTGAAATGATCCACATATTTTTGCTAGTTTAAGGTATTTTTAATTAAGTCAGTCATGTTCTCAAGAATCAGAAAATATAGGATAGAAATTAAACCTTTAATCGAACCCACTTTCTATTTTAATGTTAAAAAAAAAAATAACCAACTTTGAATTCTGATTTAAAAATATTCAAACCTTAATTGCTCAGTAACCGTTGAACAAATTGCATTGAAATTTTTAGCATTTGTAGCTCTTAATAAGCTCTAAACACCCTGTAATTTATAATATTCCCAGGTTTATAGTTTTTGAGCAAATTGAGTTTGAAGTTTTTGACAAAATTCAGACTAAAAGTCAACTTTGAGGCTCAATTGCTCAAAAACTATTTGAGCAATCGATCTCAATTTTGCACAGATTTATAGAAAATTTAATGCTCTTTCCAGTGATATATAAAATTTAACAAAGCTTTGGGCAACTGCTCATAACCATGTCAAGATTTTGAAAGTTTTCCAGAGCCAAAAATTGGATTCCTTCATCAATTATTTCGAAAACTATTGAGGTTCGAGACAAAAGTTGAATTTGAAAGTTTTATAATTTTTTTTGCTCTACAACATGGCATCTTCAAATTTTGAATCCGACGTTTCATGATCGAGCCACCATCATCAACTTCATTTTTTTAAATACGGACCTGGATTTTTTATGTCATTTTTAGAAAGGAAATAAAGGACACTTTCTATAAATGACATAAAAAATCCAGGTCCATATTTAAAAAAATGAAGCTGATGATGGTATCTCGATGACGAAACGTCGAATTCAAAATTGGAAGATGCCATGTTGTAGAGCGAAAAAAATTATAAAACTTTCAAATTTGAATTGTGTCTCGAATATCAATAGTTTTCGAAATAATTGATGAAATAATTTCGCTCGTTTTTTGAAAATCACCCTGTATTTCATAAACTAAAAAGAATTTGGCAACACTGTAAATAATTCTGGGATGGACAGCGAAAAAGGCAACTTTTTTCTAATTTAACCGACCTTGCAGCTCTTACCGTTTCGGATATAGCAATAGTGGTATCACTTAAAATATACACCCTGTATATCACATAAAATCTGCTCAGAATTCAAAGTAGAATCAGAATATTCAATAATATACACAGGGTGTCTCATTTGCAAAAAAAAAAACATTTTTTTGTTTTTAAAACTTTCTGCATCAACAAAACTCTGAACTATTTTTCAAGCACTACTCCTTTCCTGTTTACATTTTTTTTTATAGTAGTTTTAGGTACTTATTCACAATGGTCACGTTCACCAGCACTCAACATGTTGAGTGATTAGTTAACGGCTTTGTTGAAAACAGATGAAAATCAGCTCTAGACCAATCAAAACTGTTCTACCTTGTGTATTCCACTTGTTGGAACAAAGCCGTTTACTAATCACTCAACATGTTGAGTACTGGTGAACGCGACCAATAACATTTTATTACCAAGGCTTTGTACACAACATTTATGTTAGATGTGAATAAAGCTATTTTTGACTTTTGACTTTGACTATACACAGTGGCACAAGAAAGTTAAGGGGGGTGGAAAAACATAAAAAATAACCCTGTACAATACACCAAGTAAACTTGATTTGATTTAGGTTGAAAGATGGATCCTGTCGAAGTGGGACCTGGGGCTTCTTCTAGCTCTAAGGCACGTATCGTCAAAGAGGGATGGTTGTTCAAGAGGGGAGAGCATATAAAAAATTGGAGAGCCAGATATTTTGTGTTGTTCGATAATGGAGCATTGACAGGCTTCAAAAACAAACCAGATGATTATTACAGCGACCCATTGAACAACTTTACAGTTAAAGAATGTCAGATTATGTCGATAGACAGACCAAAACCATATACTTTTGTTATACGTTGCTTACAGTGGACTACAGTTATTGAGAGAATGTTCCATGTCGAAACTGCAGAAGAAAGGTGAAATACTTGCAACTTCAGCAAAAGATAATATTTCTGTTCTAATAATTTATTGTAGGGAAAAGTGGGTACAAGCCATTAAATCTGTGTCTGAAAGATTATCAAATGATTGTGACGATGTAGAAATGAATAATGCAGCTAACCCTGATATGATGGTTGACTTGTGGGAAAAGTGTTCATTACAAGGTAATTTACAACTCAGTAGTATTATTGATTTTATATCTGGTTGAATTGCCTTTAGGAACATCAATTTCCAAGTCTACAGGAAAAAGAAAAGTGACCCTCGAATGTTTCGAATTTATCAAAGTGTTGGGAAAAGGAACGTTCGGAAAAGTGATTCTTTGCAGAGAGAAGGCCACCAGCCATTTGTATGCCATTAAAATCCTCAAAAAAGAAGTCATTATTCAGAAAGATGAAGTTGCTCATACTCAGACTGAAAATAGAGTATTGAGAACTACAAATCATGCATTTTTAACTGTAAATTGATTTATTTTGCACCAGGGACTGGTAATAAATATTTTATTTTAGTCATTAAAGTACTCATTCCAAACCAATGACCGATTATGCTTTGTAATGGAATATGTCAATGGTGGCGAATTGTTTTTTCATTTATCAAGAGAAAAAGTATTCTCAGAAGACCGAACGAGATTTTATGGAGCTGAAATAATTTCAGCCCTTGCTTATTTGCATTCTCAAGGCATTATATACAGGGATTTGAAATTGGAGAACTTACTGCTAGACAAAGATGGCCACATTAAGATTACAGATTTTGGTTTGTGTAAGGAAGATATTACATATGGAAGAACTACTAAGACGTTTTGTGGTAAATTATCCAATGTTTATTATTATTTTATAGGAAAATTTATAGTCGGTACATTTCAGGCACTCCCGAATATCTTGCACCTGAAGTCTTGGAGGATAATGACTACGGCAGGGCAGTGGATTGGTGGGGTATCGGCGTCGTCATGTACGAAATGATGTGCGGACGATTGCCCTTTTACAATAGAGATCACGACATGCTCTTTACTCTGATTCTGATGTCAGATGTTAAATTTCCCAGAAACTTGAGTGAGGAAGCTAGAAATTTGCTCTCAGGACTACTCATCAAAGATCCCACTAAAAGGTACTTTAATTATATTATTGTCACGGCTTTGGATTGCCTGACAGAAATCTTGGGTTCGTTTCGTTTATTCCAAAAATCAAGGTCCAATTAACACAGCAATAATTTATTCCACGTAACAATACACTTTGACAATAATTACTTTAACAATTAAACTCTTTACAACAAATCACTATTTAAATCTTATCACAGTCAAACTGAAACTTCCCAACTACAAAGCAACAGCATCCTTTATATATCCCGAAATCTATTCCTGTAAAATCTAGAACACGCACGATAATTTTATTTTCTCGATTATAGTAGAATAATTCGCTAGATTCTTGAGAGCCTGGCGGAAGCCGTTCTTTTGGCCTGGCGTTAGCGTTATCGTAACATTATTCTGAATTGTATTGTCTCACACCACCTCTGTGGTTGTTTAGGTTAGGTGGAGGTCCAGACGATGCCAAGCAAATTATGGCTCACCCTTTCTTTGACAGCATTAATTGGAGAGATCTTGAACTAAAGAAGGTACAAAAATTATTACTAAAGAAGGATTTATAAATGCATTTTATCACACACACAGATTCCTCCTCCTTTCAAACCTCACGTAACCTCCGACATAGACACTAGGTATTTTGATCAAGAGTTTACTGGTGAAAGTGTGGAACTAACACCTCCAGATAGCACAGGACCTTTGGGCTCCATCCAAGAGGAACCTCAATATTTCCCACAATTCAGCTTTCAGGATTTATCTTCTACTTTGAGCAGCTCGGCCTATGTTAGCGGAAGTATGGCTAGTGTTGCTAATATTATGCAGTGAAGATTGAGATGGTCATAGGTATTATTTTGTATTTCTTTTATAATTTAAAAACTATTAATTATTTCAGATTCATGAGTACCAATCCCAAAAGCTAAAAAGCCCATATTGAGCTACCAATAGGTTTTGTGATATACATAATATTATATAACAACTTTTTTACTAATGTAGTTTCCAAAGGAACTACCGGATTTGTTTTCTTTTTCATTTGAACAGAGCATAATAATTATTATTGTACACATACATTATTTAGATATAAGGTGCGTTATTAGATTAGCCAGAAATATTTTCCTCATGTAACATGTAATCTGATATAACATTATAGTGAATGGAAGCCATGCTTAGAAAAAAAAAATATTATTTAAATTTGGAAGTCTCATCATTTTTTTTATTTGAATTGAATTTTGTTATTAAAATTTTGGTTTTCTTAAATTGTAACATTCATTAATAGCCAAAAATTTCTATTTTGTAAATATAATTTTCAAATTATGGAACGAATAAAAAAAAATCAGCCCAAGGGAAAAAATGGTTTTATTGAAAGTACAGTAATAAGTATAATAATACAAGATTATGAACATTCTTGGACTTTTCCAAACTGAGCTATAATTGGTTTTCCATCAATAAAGACACCATTCAGAGCTTCTAATCCTTGTGTAGCCTGAACTTGATCTAAAATAATTTGAAACACCCTATATTCATGTTCAAGAGATTTGTAAAAATCCTTACTTTGAAATGTTATGAAGGCCTGCCCTTTCATTTTGCCATTCATAATCCTAATAGTAAAAGAACCAATCTTGAAATTTCCAAGCAACCTTTCCAAGCTTTTTTTATCAACCTTTTTTCCTAAATTCTTTAACAATAATATATTTGATGGGTGTCCCGGTTCAAACATTGAAAACTTGGGAATCTTCTTTATTTCTGCTATAGTTAACTTTTTATTTTTTTCAAGATCATCATTTGTATTTAGTTTTATAATTTGGCCATTTCTAACTGTGTATATTGTTTGTGGGTCACAAGAATATTTCTTGTTTTTATTCATAACATTTACACATTCTTTTTGTGGGGGTTTCTGTTTTATGTCCCACAGTGTTACTCTATTTAATTTATAAATATTGAAATCTGTAGCACTTATTTCAGTTTTCTCCAAGTCATTTATTTTGTTTCCCAAAGATCTGGCTTTTTTTCTAATTATTTTTATGTCACGTTTGGAATAATTCGTACCAGTATTCATGAAATCTTTCTCTAAATTTGCAAGTTCATCTAAAGGATTTGGCTTATTTGTTGACAAGTTGAATCTCGAATGAACACAATTGACTTTCTGAATGATTTTTTGAAGACGCTGTTTTAGAATATCCTCATTTACATCCCTATATTTATCCCAAAATAATTGTGAATCTAAATTTAAATAATCTCTGTATATTTCTATATCTCTATCGTCCAATCCTTTACTTTTTAGTTTATTCAATTCATCCACATTATCAATAATTGTTTGAAAGTCTTTCAAGGTTGATTTTCCACAAATGTGGCCTGTTATATCCACAAATTCAGCACTCTGGGTGAAATGTTGTTGCTGGCTGACCTGCCTATAGAAAATTATTTGTTTGAAAGTCCATCGAGATATTTTCACTTACTCTGAGAGTGTAGTTTTGGTCCTAAGCTGCTTTTCAGTCAACTTTTTTATCAGAATATCACATTCAGTCGGTTGTTTTTTTGGAGGAGGTTCACCTTCTTCTAAGAATTTCACTTTGGTTGATTTGCTGCCAAATATACTATACATGTTTTTTTTTTTTCGATTTTAACAATAACTGAGAAGTATATTCTATTTAACAAATAAATAATAACCAAAGACAAGAAAAATGCTGGAAAACAGTAGTAATAATCAAGAATGTTCCAATTAGGCAATTCAAACCACGTGACTTTCAAGATGGCGTGGCGGCCACACATGGGCCAAAAAACACAAAAAAATATCTAGATTCTGCCCGATTTATTAGTTTAGGTACCAAGTCAACAAATATTTTATTAAATAATCCAAATCAAAGTTGCAAGCAAAACTATAAGCAAAATAATTTGAAATACGCATAAAAACACATTCAAAACAAACCTGCTTGGCCGCCACGCCATATTGAATTTTCCTATCTGACAGATGGATTAAATTGCCTAAAGGTCAGTTTACACATGCATGGATTTAGTGGCGCCAATAAAAACTGGCGCGCCAGTAAATTTTATTAGCAAGTGTAAACATGGACTTGCATACACATTTTATATTTGCATGCATAGTCCAAAAAAGTCTGCATCCTTCTGAAATCACTGGCGCCAATGGTGACAAATTCGTACAGAAAATCGGAACTTGCAAGTGTAAACAAGTGCTTGCACGTCGGCGTCCGCTCGCCAGATTTTCGTTTGATTTTCATTTTGGTTGCTGCGAGTTCTCCTAGAAGTTTTGCAGAAGGAGCCAAAGTGGGTCGACGACCAATCCATGGTTCAACCCAGAAACGGCCATTTCGTTGGTTGCGTTTCTTTTTCTGTATTTCTTTTATCTTTTTTTCTTTTACTAAAAGTTTAGCGACTATTTTACAGCCTTCGGAAAGTTCACTCGAAATAGTGCACACTGAGAAAGGCACTTTAAAAGTGAAACTGGCGTGCCACTTATTTCTGTTTTTCACATAAAGTGTAAACCTTTACTGGCGTGCAAATAGAACTGGCGCGACCACTGGCGCCACTAAATCCATGCATGTGTAAACTCACCTTAATTCCAATTGTTTCTGTGAGGTACGGCAAGGCAAGAGGCCCTCATCTACAGTCCAGTCAGTACCTAACCTCACTTTTTCTGTTTTCGTTTCCTAATGGATGATCTTCCTAACCTTAAAAAATTAAATAGTACATTTATTATTCAATTAAAATGGCAATAGATCTAATTGTAGATCCCCAAATTCGGGTTTGGGTATTTCTACCCATCGTATTAATCACATTTCTAGTGGGAATCTTAAGACACTACGTTTCACTGCTTCTCGCAAGCCAAAAGAAAGTTGAAACTCAACAACTTCAAGACAGGTATTTATTTATTGATTTTGTTTTCAATCTTCAATTATAAATATTCTATTGAGTAGTAAAAGTTTCAATAAATAATTGATAGAATTAATTATTCTAGTCAGTTAATACTTCGATCGAGATACCTACGTGAAAACGCCAAATACATCCCCAAAGCAGCTTTCCTCGCCCGAAGACAAGCATTCAATAGGGAAGAAGATGGCTATCTAACACAAAAAAGGCCAGCAGTAACTCAAAACATGATGACTGATCCATCAATGATGACTGAAATGGTAAAAGGAAACTTGACCAACGTTTTACCAATGATTGTTGTTGGAGGTTGGATCAATTGGATGTTCTCTGGATTTATTACAAGTAAACCTAATTACAGTTCCTCATATTGTAGTATAATAATTTCTATTTATTATAGCCAAAGTCCCATTCCCATTAACTCTAAGATTCAAATTGATGTTACAAAGAGGCATTGAATTATCCCATTTGGATGCTTCGTGGGTTTCATCGGCCTCATGGTACTTTTTAAATGTTTTCGGTTTGAGAAGTATTTATACTTTAGTGTTGGGAGAAAATAATGGTAAGCTGTTGGTTGAAAATAAAACAATTCATGAAAAAAAAATATAATTGAAATGTGTAGCTGCTGATCAATCCAGGCAAATGCAAGACCAAATGTCTGGGGCTGCGATGGCGATGCCTCAAGATCCGAAAGTTGCCTTCAAAGCCGAATGGGAAGCTTTGGAAATTGTCGATCATCAGTGGGCACTTGCTGATGTTGAAAGTAAACTTATTGGGGAAGAAAAACTCAAAAGCGATTAGTTTTTAAATGTTGCAGTTAATAATTTATACTATTTTTGTTTTTACTTTAATTATTGTTAACTTTACTTTATTTTCTGGGGATTAAATAAAACAAGGAATAGAAGCAGGGTACTTTTATTCCCTGCTTCATTTAATCCACGGGAAATGAAGTAAAAATTTAATCTTCAGGAAACAAAGTGAAATTCAATTCCGGGGATTGAAAGACCCATTTTAGGTACTCCCTTAAAATAGGGATTAAAAGGATATTTTTTATCCCTGAAGTGCATAAATAAATAAATCAATCAATTTTTATTAAACTTTAAATAAAACAAATAATAATTGTAAGCAGAAAAAAAGATTAGGAGGATTCATCTTCTACAGTATCAAAATTATTCACTGATACATCGTCCGCTTCCATTAGATCAATATTGAAATTGTTCGCCAAATACTTTTGTTGTATTTGAACAGATTCCTTCGGCAAACTTATAGGTAGATTATTTTGCAGGCAGTCGAAATAGTGCTTTGCAACATTTATTTGAGTTTCCCCTAATATTGTCGAGGCAATATCAAACGCGTAACTATTTGAAATTCCTAAAATTAATTCAAATATTATTGTTTTTACAAATATAGATATTGTCATTATACCTCTGGATATTTTATGAAGGAAATAAAATATTCCATTTTCCTTATTATGATCCATTTTCAAATATTCCACGTATTTGTTAGTTTGAGGCAATAAAGTTGCGATGCGCTGCAAATGAGTCGATACCAAAATGTGCGGGCAGTCATCTTTTTTAACCAAATATGATTTTAAAAAAGCGGCAAGTAAAATTAAACCATCCTCGTCCAAAGTGCCACGACCAAACTCGTCCAAAATAATTAACGAATTGGGAGTGGCATAGTGAAGGGCCTGAGAAGTTTGACTGATATCCAACATAAACGAAGACAGTCTTACTACCGCCGATTCAGTTGCGTGGATCCTGCAATGCATACTATCCACCAAACTAATATTAGCTCTCTTAGCCGGCACATAACAACCCACATGGGCCAAATAAATCGTGAGCAGAATTTGCTTCAAGTAGATACTTTTTCCGCTACCATTTGCCCCTGTAATGATTTTCATGTGGCTATGTGGACCTCCCGAATAAAAATCATTTGCCTCAAATGTTGTTAGGATTTGTTCCATTAGAGGATGCCTGCATTCGATTATTTCATGTAAGCGGTTTTTGTTGAGATCGGGCTTGACATAATTGTTTTGATGCGAGACTTTTGCCATAGCAATAAGACTAAAAATAATAGTTATTTATTTACGACTAATGTATAATGTGCATATTATATTTGTGATTTTGGCAGTATAATGACATATGTTATTCCTCCAGGGATTAATGACGAGTAGCGGGATTAATGGTCATTATTCCACAAAAGTGTCAGTGTCAAACGTGTAGTGCTTGTGGATTTGTATTGAAAATTATGAGATGATGAAATTTGTTCATTGAAAATCTCAATAAATTAATTTGTCGTAAATAAAGTAGAGTATACTACTCGCAATAATGGCTATTATTGACTCGTGGTATAATCTACTAATTATTTACGACTGACATATAATGTAAATATAATATTTGTGATTTTGGCAGTATAATGCCATATATTATTCCCACAAAGATTAATGGTCATTATTCCCGCTTGCCACCATTCACAAAATTTTCCAAATTAAATAAGTAGTACCATGGAAACAATATACCTGAACAAACTCAAAAGCAATAATGGCTATTATTCCCTCGACTGGCCTCGACGCTAACGCGACTCAGTTCGTAAATATTCCTAGGGAATAATAGCTATCATTATTGACTCGTGATATAATCTACTATTATGTATCAAGGGAATTATGAGGGTGTTAATACCCCAGGACTCCAATTGCCCGTGGGTATTAACACCTGATAATTCCCGTGGTACATAGATAATTTTATATCCTACTGAACTATTATAACCATGTAATACCTTTGTTACGATATTCATAAACAGGGTCTTAACTCCCTAGGGAGTTAAGGATTTTCATAACTCCCGCGCGGGAGTTAAGGATATCATAACTCCCAAGGGAGTTAAGGATTTCCATAACTCCCGCTTTTACCTTGAATAGGTAAAACTTGTAAACTTTATAAAAATAGACAAAATACAGTAAATTCAGTAGGATATAAATAATATAATTATTTTCTAAAATGATTGAATTATTTTTATTTACCAGTCAATCATGGACACAACTTTTAAAGCTTGTCTTATATCTCTGTTGTATTTTAAAGTGAATGCCGAAAGTCTCCTCACAATTCTGTTTTCATGGTCGATGATTTCGGCATTTATATCTCCTAGTCTTTTATCGAGTTCTAAAAAATGAAAAGAAATCAACGAGTACCTATAGTACTTAGGCGGACAGCTACTTACCGATACAGAGTGGATTTTTGTAATGTAATATTCCACCTAAAGCAAACTGAAACAAATTCAAATAAGTAAATTTTTTAGTCTGAGAATTATTTATACCATAAACTGATAGCCCAAATATTGAAGCTCCTCTGGAGCACAATTCGGTTCCCACTCTCTAATCCCCATAAGATGTCCCATTTCTGGCAAATAAATAACTTTGCACTCGTTGATATAATCTGGCAAATCGTTTACTGCAAATCTTGCTGCGGCAGTTACGTGTTTGGCTACGTCTTTCTGATGCAACAACTCTATAAAATAGTGATAATAGCTAAATAATAATTTAAAAAACTAATATTTACTGGCATCTAAACTCTCATCTAGACCATATTTAATCACAGGCCTTCCACGTTTCTTGCCGGCATTAAAGTCTAGAGCGTTACTTATGGATTCTTGTAGCCCTAAAAGGTTATCTGTTATTGCTTCGTTTAATTCTGCCAGTAATTCAGATTTGTCTCTGTAGCCTTTGCTTATTTCGTTAATAAAGATTGTATGGTATATCATCTACAAAATTTCAATCAATAAGAGTGTAGATTTATTGTTTCAACTTTAGGTACTTTATGCAAATCGTCCCAATCTTTATTGGTCGAACGTAGGTTTTGTATTTTTCCTATAATAAGACTGACATAGCTAATGTTTCGAAATTGCCTGATGTTATCCTGCACATTAGCTATGAAATCTAAATTTGCAGGATTCAAGACAAACTCTATAAAAGCTAGTCGTTTATCTAATTCTTTTTGGTCATTGATAGGAGAAACGAGTAGATTTCTGCAAGAAAAATAGCTATTTTTCATTATTTCAAGGGAGGATCTTTTGAAGAACTTTTTCCATTATAGAAAAAAATATCACATTTTAATCAGATCACATATTTATCTTACCTCAATTGAATTTGGCCATGTTTTGATTTGCAACCGTACAAAAATAATTTAAAAATGCTGAAACCTTCCCTACTACTAGATTCTTGTCCACGTTTAAATCCAGCATCGTGAGATTTTTGGGAAAAAATTTGCAGAGCCTTGAAGCTTGTATTATCCAAGAGCACATGATTTTTCCTATGAAAATAGCTGAAATTTTATTATTTGTAATTTCAATTTCTGTTCTTACAATGTCACTTGATGTATGTGTAAAAAGTGAGCATCACTAGGATCGATTCCAAACACAGACCAGTTCTTCTCTAAATGTTTATACAAAGCCGCCAAAGTTTGAATGGAGAGTCTATAATTGAGATTGACAAAAGATCGTAGAAACACTTCCTGTTTGTGATCTGTATTCTCCAAAGTGCTTGAAGCTATGCTGATATTTGATACTATTGTTTTGCAAGCTTCATATGCTAAAAATATGTCACAAATCAGTTTTCAAAAATCTTAATCAGGTAGATAATATAAATACACTTACTATATTCTTTTAGAGATACAACATAAAAATTCTCAGGAAGGCGAGATACGTTCGACGTGGTTGTAGTGTCCGAATCTGGACTGAAACGGTCTATTACTACTTTTACATATTCGTCAGTAATATTCCCGAAAGTCAATATATATTTTGGAGCAACTTCTCTGAATAATGTGGAAGTTATAAGGTATTGAGGACCAAGATCGGGAATTTCTTCATATACGTTCAACTGAAAGAAAATAACAATTTTTGCATGTAATTTTATTGCCTTATGCTCAAACTATTTTAAACAAAAAAAAAACAAATTCCAAACAATTTTCCATATACACTTCCGAGTCCACTTTCTCAAATTTCCAATGAAATTCTTATTTTCTTGGAATTAAACGTCCCTCAGAAAAATACTCAGAAAGTTTTTTATGCCACTCGGGATGTTTCAAATATCCGTATTTAGGAAGTAAAATATGCTTACCGTTTTTTCACTAAAATTGTAATAAGTGGCACCCAAAGTTCCCATTTTATTCAAAAGGCACAAAATAACTCCATCAGTGATACTGGTTAGGTCATCTACTGTACTCTCTTGGGCCCCAAAATATTCTGCCTTTTCGCGAATTTCGATTAAACTGCTACTTGAGGAATTGAAATTCATCCTAAAGTGCATTTGAAGATAAATATAGTAGGGTGCTATTTGTGATGCAATTGCTCTAAAATAAATTCTGTGGGGGGCAAAGTGACACAAGCTAAATTGTTTATGTATTAAAATTCTATGAAGAAAAAGCCCTAAAAAGTATGAGAAAAGGGTCAAATCTAAGCCCACATGAAATACCTACGATAGTACTGCGTTATTTATTATACAAGGGAAAAAAGTACGTACTAGATTTTAGTGCGAGGTGTGGTTTGCGAGCGCTAAAATATTACTTTTTTCCCATATATAATACACTCATCGAGAATACACAATTTTTTTCTGTGACGGGAAAATCTCACTATTTTCCATCTATACATTATTCTCTTTTAGAACAGAAATTGACTGTTACCTGTTACTTTTTTCCCATGGGAGAAAAAGTGACATTTTCGCCCCTGTCAACAGGTACAAAAAGTCTACTTTTTTCCCGTCATAGAAAAATAGTTATTTATTATGTAAGGGAAAAAAGTACTAGATTTTAGCGCGAGGTGTGGTTTGTCTCCCGACGCGAAGCGGAGGGAGACAACACAGCGAGCGCTAAAATCTTATTTTTTCCCATGTATAAAATAATACACTATTTTTGCTGTGACGGGAAAATCTCAACATTTTCCATCTATACATTATTCTTTTTGAGAAAAACATTTGACTGGTACCTGTTACTTTTTTCCCTCGGGAAAAAAAATTTGACTGGTACCTGTTACTTTTTTCCTGTGGGAAAAAAATCACTTTTTTCCCCATGGGAGAAAAAGTGACATTTTTGCTCCTGTCAACAGGTATGTACAAAAAGTCTACTTTTTTCCCGTCACAGAAAAAAAAATTTTTTTATTTTTTAATTTTTTCTCCAGGGTGGCAGTGCCCACCTTGCCCATATGGCCGAACCACTACTGTAGTATATATAGATAAATTAGTTTATACCCGGTCTCAGCGAAACAAGTATACTCGAGCTGCCAAAGATGCACAAATTTTCATTAAAAAAAAACGCGAGAAAAATGCAGGGATATGGATATCAGTCAACTGGTCCTATTGAAGTCTATGTGTCTAGTAGCTTTGTCCTGTCTGTATAGCTTGTAACTTACCCTCACAGAAAAGAAACCATAATTTCGATTGACTGACACTCTACTGATAGAATTAAAATTGAATAATATATAAATGAAAAATATAAAACTTTTACCTGTTTTTCACTAAAAAAAAAACTAATTCAAGAAAACTTCTAATTTCCAAAAGATCGCAAGATGGCGTCGGTTTATAATAATTCTTCTTTTTTTAACATCAGTAAATTAGGCAGTAGGCGTATCGACAAGCCCTCCTCTACTTTTACTTTCCGAAAAAAGAAGATTCCACTTTACCACTTACCTCATAGCATAACCTCAAAAGTCAAGTGTCCATTTGATTTGACATTTGTTTTGTTTTGTTTTGTTTACCTATTTTCATATAAAACAGAATGAATCCAAAATAATTCAATTATCAATCAATTATTAATGTATTTGTGGTCGCACAATGGCAAATCGAACAGTAAAAGACGCCAAATCCGTGCACGGTACGAACCCTCAATATTTAGTAGAAAAAATCATCCGTTCGAGAATCTACGATTCAAAGTACTGGAAGGAAGAATGTTTCGCCCTCACAGCTGAACTGTTGGTAGACAAGGCGATGGAGCTTCGCTTTATCGGAGGCGTATACGGCGGTAACGTAAAACCAACCCCCTTTCTTTGTCTCACATTAAAAATGCTTCAAATTCAACCCGAAAAAGATATAGTGGTCGAGTTTATCAAAAACGAAGAATTCAAATACGTTCGTGCCCTAGGAGCGTTTTACATGAGGCTGACTGGCACCTCGTTGGATTGCTACAAGTATTTGGAGCCACTATATAACGACAATCGTAAACTGAGAAGGCAAAATCGACAGGCACAGTTTGAGCTTGTTCACATGGATGAGCTTATTGATGAACTTCTTAGGGAAGAAAGAGTTTGTGATGTTATTCTTCCCAGGATTCAAAAAAGACACTTATTGGAAGAGAACAATGAAATCGAAGCAAAAATTTCATCCTTGGAAGACGATCTGGATGAGGAAATGGAAATTGAAGAAGCAGAGCTATCAAAGTATAAGCTAGTAGAAAATGCAAAACCAAAAGAGAAAAAAGAGAGCAGGAAAAGGGAAAGGAGCAGATCAAAAGAGAGACATAGAAGCCGGAGCAGGGAAAGGGAGCGGCATCACAAGAAGGATAAAGAAAAAGATCGAAGGGATAGGGATAAAAATAGAGATAGGCGGGATAGGGACAAGGACAAAGACAAAAAAAGGAGAGATGATGATCGAAAACGCAGATGAAATTCTGATTTTTTATTGTAAAATGATCATATAAAAAAATAAATGATAATTTAAGGTCTTCTCATTTTAATTGTGCTTTTGCTAACGACAATATTTTTCTGACTTTCCATTTTATGACCGAGTTGCATGGTTGGTTTAGTCAATGCTGATCTTTTAGGCACTAAAAGCGCAATTTGAGTATCTACTTTAAGATTTAATCAATAAGTCTTACATGAATTCCATGTAAGATACAAAGTTTCTGCTTGATTGTCTAACTGTTTGCATCTAAACTCTTTGATTATTGAAGCAGAAGCTGCTTTTTGTAAGCTAACTGGATAATTTGTTGGTAGACTTGGTACAATATCTGCAAGATTAACTTTGGCTTTGCGTAACAATTTTGCTTTCTCGAAACTTTTAATGAATCTCCTACTTACTTCTGATATTTTTTTGTTGTCTAGTTTTTCTAAAATTAAAATCATTGTTAATTCTATAGGCGATAATTACTTACCTACCTAAGCAATGGCTATTTGCAATAATATCCTCTCTATATCGATGCTTGCTGCTAATTGGATTGCCGTTGAATTTTGCTTCTTTTAGATGCAACCAATTTCTTAAAGTTTGGCAAACATCTTGCATATTATCAAAATCATTGTGAGATGCATCTAGTATTACTAACATTTTTAATGGAGACAGGAATTCTAACGATATGATTTTGTTATGTGATATGTTTAAAACTCGCAATGTATTCTGAAAATATTTTGATAATTGATGTAAGTATTTAACTTAGATGAAGTCTTATCTTACTGATAAACTTAGGACAGTTCTCGGATCAAAACACATAGGACAATTATCTGGTAAATCTTGTTTTTCAACGTGCAACTCTTCTATACCGTCGATACATTGTAGCCCTTCAAGTACAGAGATTCTATTTTTGCCCAAATATATATTTTTCAATTTGCTCAAGTGGGATAAATTTTCCACTTTATCTATTTGGTTGTTTTGCAAATACAAGTTGGAAAGATTACGCAGTTCGTGTAAATTTTCGATGGTTTTTATTTTGTTGTTGTAAAGGTAGACGGTTTCGATGCTTTGAGCTGAGGAGATTTTTGGCTAAAATAATTTCAGGATTTAAAAAACCTATATGAATAAGGTTCAAACTTGACAAAATATTGATTTTCTAATGTATTGGACGATGGATGGATAGATCTTCTAGTCAGATCTTTCACAGATTAGAGTTATTGGCATTTTATTTAATCTTGACTGAATTAGAGAGAAAGACATTGGCCACTTATTATGTTGAAGAAGCCATAGACGATTCTACTTACAATTTTCACTAAACATTTTTCTTGTAAAAAAAGGTGCGTTACTTTGTCAAAATAAGTAGATTTTTTCTTTTTTAGCACTGGTTTTTTCTTTTCATCTAACGCTGTTGGTTTCGTAGCTCCTTTATTTCTATCCATGTTTTATTTAATTTTACAATTTGTCATTCAAATCAACAAATTTACCATTAGGTCGGGTTGCTACGAAACATTATGCAAGGGATGTTTGATCAATATACACACATTTAAGTCAAAAGCGATTTATTAACACACAAGTTATTCTACCTGTACAAATTAGGATTTCATATACATCTCTATATTAACAGTGTGAATTTTACAATATGGACCATTTAGAACCCTCTACTTTTTAATTAGATAATAATGAATATATCAAAAAAAAAATTAGTCCAGGAATTCATATTTGTTGTTATATAAACTCGGAATTTGATTTTGTTTTTGTTTTAAATATAAATTCTGGATCTATCTTAAAGCTGGGAATGGAAAATGTTAACAGTTTGTTTGCAGTTAAGGTACGTATTTTATTCAGGATATGAATGATTTAATTGGATTCGTATTTTGATTATTTTTTCATAGATTTTTATTTAATACTGCAAAATAGACGCACAGTGGAAAATGAGCTTAGTAGGTATTTCATACCTGGCGATAGAGATAGTGTCCATTGAAGATATTGAATTAAACTTATCTCTGACTTCACATGAGAAGGAAAACAGTAAAACAAGACCTGGAAAAAGTAGTATGTCTAAGTGAAAAATCATCACATTTTGATATCGGTAGCCTCCCAAAACCTTCCCAATATTCTGAAGACATACCCCAGTATACTGAAGAAAGGACTTCAATCAGCATTTCAGAAGAAGTAGACCAGGTTGTAGATTCTGAAGGAAACCTCTGCATAAAAATATTGTTCTAGCTCCAAAAGGAAATGTTAATTCTGCCTCAAATTGTGAACTTGCCATTTGACGTGGCATGACTTCGAAATGGAACAATTCAAAAATCTTATTATGTAGGTACAAAGCAGCTAAAGTGAAAAATTATTAAGAGAAATGAAAGCTATTCGGCTAGCATAACTGATCTCTCAAGATAAGTCTTAGGGCAGCAGATTCTATTCAAGAATTTGTTAAAGAAGACATTGAGAACCTCAAATCTGCAGAATATATGAAAATTTCTTACATTGAGTCAATAGCTGCTGAGGTGGTTGGTGCCTGAGCTTGCAAAGGAAAAGGAAATTTGTAAGGAAGAGTCAGAAGTTACCTCTACTCTAATGACACACAAAAAAAAATAAGAGAGGTTATATAAAAGTACAAACATGCATCTGCACATGAACTTTCTGAAGTAGTTGCTTCTGATTCTACGCAAGTTGACGTCGTTGAAGTTACAAATAGTGTAAATGCTCTTACAAAGAGAAAAATTGATTTTGATACCGAAGTTGTTGAAGAAAAACAGATATACAGGGTGATTCAAAAATAAGCGGCATCCTTCCGGGGGCGTATTCCTTATATAAAAATAAGACAAAAAGTTCCTATTTTAACATGGGCCTGGGAATGCTTCCTAGGAGCTACGTCCCTTCGAACACCTGAAAGACGTATTTTCTCTATAACTTTGAAACCCTTCACAAATGGATTTTGAAAATTAGTGTATTCTATGAACTTTTGATGGCAATTAAGATACTAGATTGAAAATTCAAAAATCTTAATCAGTGTCACATACTGGGGAGGGTGAAAACATCCCTATTTTTTTTTACTCGTCAGGTTTGAAACATACACAAATCAGAAAATTCAAAAAAGTCAATTTTCTCGTAAACGGTACGCTGTATCGAATTGAACCAAGAGTAGCTTTTCTGTGTAAAAAACTGTAAACTTTCTGAATTTTCAATCAGAATCGCAAAAACCTAACAAGTAAAAAAAATAGAGATATTTTAACCCTCACCCTCCCCAGAATGTGACGCCACTGATTAAGGTTTTTGAAATTTCAATTTAGTATCATTAATTGCCATCAAATGTTTATAAAATACACCAATTTTCAAAATCCATTTGTGAAGGGTTTCAAAGTTATAGAGAAAAATACGTCTTTCAGGTGTCCTATTCGAAGGGCCGTAGCTCCCTTAGGAAGAATTTCCGGACCCATGTTAATAGGAACTTTTTGTCTTATTTTTATGCAAAGAATACGCCCCCGAAAAAATGCCGCTTACTTTTGAATCACCCTTATTGTGACACTTTCAAAGTACGAATCTCCCTTGTTGCAGGTTCAAGAAGCTCCAGTAAAGCAGGTTGAACAAGTGCAAGAAACTCCTGTAAAATAAGAGTCCTATGACTAGAGGTCTTGTAGAAAACATTAAAAAAGTTTCTGTGGAACAGGTTGAAGAAGCTCCTGGTAGAACATGTTAGAGCGATTGCAAAACAGATTACAGAGAGTATTGTGGAAAAGGTTGCAGAAGCTCCTGTAAAACAGGTTGAGAACAGCTTAAAGAAGCTCTCTTGAAACAGGTTTAAGAATTTTCTATAAAGCAGGTTAAATAAGCTTCCGTAGAACAGGTCAAAGAAGCTCATGTGGAACAGGTTGAAAAAACTTCTGTAAAACAGGTTAAAGAAGCTTGGTATTGCTTCTGCTCTCCACATATTTTATATCATGTCCCTTATTGGTCTATTGTATGGGTACTGCAAGAGTGAATTTAATATTTTTAAATCCTTGTGGGTACTGTTCCAAGATTTTAATCAGTTCCTTTTCTATGTCCTATGGCGTCTCCTATTCTTTTAGTTTTTGGTTATATTAGTTTTATTCTTTCGTTACAATAATAATTAATCATTACCTCCTCCATACATTACATCCTTTATAATTATTTTGTATTTGATTGTCATTTTAATTTACTGTGCGTCCATGCTTGCTATAGTATTTAAATCCCCTGTTTCACTAAAAAATAAATACGATATGCCGTTACAAATTGCTTCTATATTAATTTTCATTGACATATATTTTATATATCATGATACGTTTAAATATTGCTTATATGAAGATATATTTTATAACTCTTGATCACTGTTAATATTTCCATTGATGGGGATCTTAAAATATATTTAGTACAAAATTAAATTTAAATATAAAATAAAGTGAAAAAAGCCTATTTTAGTGTTGGTGAATAACTATCTATACAAGATCTAAATTAGTATAAAACCATAATCTTCATTTATTGCACATAAAATAAATTTGGTGCATTTATACACAAAACACATCGCTAAATAATTTTCCTTTTGAAGCATAACCAACAAGAAATATTTATTACTAAAGATATGGTGTTCGACTTTTAACATTTATACGCATTATGTAATATGTAGGCTCTAATATTTTGTGCAAGTTCTTTTTTTTTTAGTTGGCAGTATATAAGCGATAAGTGTGACATAAGAAAACGATATTATTTAGAATGAAACACCATAGATTTAGATTAGAAAATAGTTTTTTAGTGTTAAGTCAGCCTTATGTTTAAAATCTTAAGATCACACATTTATTAATACAAACATCTCCTGATGATGGTACAATAATTTATCTATTCAAATAAAATAAGTCTAATCTTTTAAATCGTTTGATTTATTTTTTGTCTAGATGCCAGTTGAGGATTGTGAGTACAATATGAGTGCTCATACACCTAACGAAAGAAATATGAACGTACAAGAACGTGAACAAACCATTATTTCTTCAGTTCCAATTAATCGTTTGTGGGCTTTTTTCAGTTCTTATGTCTAAAGTCGGTTTGAGAGTATGACACACATATTGTATATACAATAATAATTATTCATCAAAGCTATACGAGGTTCCTCAAGTCGCGAAGCTTAGAATATTTCTCTAGAGTTCTGTAAGTCAGCAGATTGAAGAAATACATGTATTGGTAGGTAGTCGTAGAAACTGCCATGCCCCACTGTTTAAAAGCTACCTAGTGCACGTGGGCCCTTAACCACTATAATCTTAAGGGTGGCGCCCGAGTTTTCCGAAAGTCCCTTAATCGTCCGGAAAACGAAAGTATCGCTACAATACAATTATAAAATGACATTCAGAATGAGCAAACAACTATACCGGTCTGGCAAGTGAACATTTTACATGCGAATTTTAATGCAATTGAATGAAATGTATAGGACAAGTCTAAGGTTGAATAAAGCATGAAAACGATTTCCCCTGTTCCACCTCCAGCGTTCTCAGCGCTGCATGCTGGAGGTGGAACAGGGGAAATCGTTTTCGTTCCTTATGTAACTTTAGACTTGTCCTATTATACATTTCATTCTATTGTATTAAAATTGGCCTGTAAGATGCTCACTTGCCAGACCTGTATAGGTACAGAACATATCGAAAAAACCACAGGTGGTAAAACAACTTTTGTTACGTTGGATGTTGAATTACCGGACTAGTAATATAATGTGTCATTTCCCCGACTGAAATTGATGACGTAAATATAGCCTGATAAATAAATAAAACTGTAGAAAAATCTTATAATACGCCCTGCCCTATCTTGCAAAACCTCGTATTCACTTCCAATCAAATAATGTAATAATAAATTTCGTTAGATTTCGATAATCGATAATAGCTCTATTTATTGACTCTCATGTAATATTTTATTTACTATTTTGATAGCCGTAAAGCATTTTTATTTCATATAAAATTCCATATAATATACAAACCTAGATTCACCAAAGAAGTTAAAATATTGACATTACCCTATTGCCATATTATAGAATAATAACAATTTTTCATTAAGAATAAACATGTACAATTTAATATCAACAAATTTTTTAGATTGATTGTTGCTGTTCAGTTAAAAGGAACATGATGATTATAACTTTTTTTTTAAAAAGGCAGATTTGCGTGTGAAATGTGAAAGAAGACGACAACCATCTAGAAAGCACATATTTACTTTACATTTTCTATTGTAGTATATAAATACCAAAAAAAATTCACTTTAAATATTTTTTGTACGAAAATTCCTTATGCAAATTAAGTTGTGTATATCTTTTAACGTTCCAGCACTTAACTTTAATGCAAGTCTTTTGTTTTTTTTGAGTTGAATGGACAATGTGTCAGAGTTATTTCGTATAAATATTAAGCCAACTATACATATCAGCAGGAATTACATACCTATAAGTATATTTAATTCAGTCAATTGTCTAAATCTTTGCTATTAAATTTAATAGAATTTGATTTAATTTTTCTCTCAAATCGCAAATCGTATACCTACTGCTTTGTACAGTTGACATTTAAAAAAATTCTCTGGTAATTCCTTACATATTTCACCATTACCATTATAAAATATATTTACAAAATCTCAATCACGAAATAACCTACTGACACCTTTTCCAAGTTCACTCACACTTCACATTCTCCTATGTTGTGTCTCATAGCGGACCTATTGATAACTCCTAAGTGGTAATCGGCATTTATAACTAAATCGGCGATGCAGCCTCTTATGCCGGCCCTGTAGCCGGTTACAGGACCGATCAGACGATGAGGCATGCCTCCTATAAAAAGACCTTCGGCTTCTGACGGGGCGAACGGTTTATCGGGAGGCCGGATCTGTACTGACTGTCTGGTAATTGCCGGACCGTTGTCGACTATTAGTAGGCCTGTAGATCCGTCCCTGGAAAAAAGAGTTGAGTTACTTTTAAGTTTTCATCAATATCTAAACCTAAATAGGTGAATATTTTGATTTTAATTTGTCTTGTTATTTTGTATCTTGGTAAGCTTTTTGAAAAAGTGTTTAATGAGAATTTTGTAGCTTGAAAAGTTAACTTTTACTTCGAATATTTGTCTCTTAGCACTGACATAAGAAAATTTGTAACTTGGAGCCGAGCCAACACAAGTATATAAGATAACTAGTCCAACTTTGATTGTATGTCATCACCGCACCGCAATACAAGTTCCAAACAAGCTATGCGCTCCAGGGTGCATCCTATAATATGCCCTAACTTTGACCCAAATGGGTTAACAAAATAATATTTACCTCACTGCTTTCACTCTATGCCACAATCCGTCGTGCACGGTACTCGAATTGTGCACCACCAGCATTTCGTCTTCTTTGTAATTCGACGTGAATCGGAGCTCTAATGCTCCTTTCTTTAGGCCTAAAGATACAAAACTGCTACCGGTAAAAGCCCATAGTAATAGGCCAGTTTCCGAGCTGGTTTTGAAACGAACATTGATGTCTAGAGGGTCGGTGGAAATGGCTTCCATGGTTGTTGGGTCGCTTAAATGGAAATAGCTGTCTATACCGTGGAAGGATGGAGGTCCTCTCGAGCATAGGTGATCTCTATAGCCAGGTTTACATCTGAAAAAAATTAGAATAATCTTCAATTAAAAAAAAAAATGTTTTAAGCAAGAATCCAAAATAGTAATTATATTTCTTTATAAGACGGATGTAAACTCAATGTTTCTTACTTGCATGTGAAATAATCCATCTCCGGTACACATTCCCCATCTTCACCACAAGGCCTGGCCACGCAAGGGTGCGGACAATTGTCTACGTTAGCCCCTCCGAGGGCCTCTGCTAGAATCGCCACTGCTCGGCCATTAATTTGAACCTAAACATTGAAAATAATATATTATATTAAAAAAATCTATATTGAAAATTAATGAGATTATTTCCTTGCAATATACATGTGCGTGCTTTATGCCTAGATATTTGATTCTGTTCTTGTGTTATAGGAAAGGAGAGATTAGCAGAGCGAAAGATTCGGAGCTGCCTGCAATAGACGAATGTTTAATTAATTATCTTGTCTAACATACAAATTTTACATCTGTATTTTCGCATAATGACGAAATCCAACACACAGTAGTGCCAAGGGTATTGAACCGTTGCCTGTTGCTATCGTGTAGGTATTACAGTATGCAATTTAGGTATCTTATAAGGTTGAAAATAATTTATTATTATTATTTTTTTATTTCCCAACAGCTTATTACAGGAAAAATGAAAATAAAATTATACAATATCAAGTAAAAGTTTTCCAGCGAATCAAGAGTTGTGATTGTCTGGCTCTTGAAGAATTGGATAATTTTTGTAGAGTCAATTTAGGTAAAAATTTTGATTAATAGCGTCTCTTCGAGTCTGGACTGAACTTAGGAAAATCATCTAGCGAATCTAGAGCCGGTAATTATTCAAATTTTGTCGATTACGGGCTCTTGAGGAAAGTTTTCCAACAAATCAAGAGCCGGCAATGGCTTAAACTATGATTGTCTGGCGCTTGTTGCATTGGATCATTTCTCTACAGCAACTTGGTAGGGTGAGTATGACAGTTCTACGCCCTCCGTCCTTTGGAGGAGATGACGTCACCTGTCTTTAGACCTGTCTAGCTGTATACAGACCAGACCTGTATAGCTGAATACAGACCTGTCTCTACATCTGTTTAGCTGCATACAGACCTGTCTCTACACAGGTCTGTATACAGCTATACAGGTCTAGAGACAGGTGAAGTTATCTCCTGCGGATTCGGAGGGCGTAGAACTGTCTTACTTACCCTACTCCACTTAAGTAAAAATGTTGATTAATACCGACTCAAGAGCCGTTGTAAGCAGTCGCAATTTTGATTATAAGCGTCTCTTCGAGTCTGGATAGCTTTAGGGAAATCCTCTAGTGAGTGAATCTAGAGCCGATATTAGTTCAAACTTTGTTGATTACCGACTCTTGATTGGTTTCAGGAAAGTTTTTCAGCGAATCAAGGGCTGGCGATAGTTCAAATTGTGATTGTCTGGCTCTTATTCCATTGGATAATTTCTGTAGGACCACTTAGGTAGAAATTTCAATTAATACCGGCTCAAGAGCCGTTTTGAGTAGTCAAAATTTTGATTATTAGTGTTCCTTCAAGTCTGGACTGACCTTAGGCAAATAGTCTATTGAATCTAGATTCAGTAATAGTTCAAATTTTGTTTATTACTGGCTCTTGATTGGTTCCAGGAAAGTTTCCAGCGAATCAAGAGCCGGTAATAGTTCAAATTATGATTGTCTGGCTCAACCAGTTCCGCCCACCCTAAGATATGCAAATCCGTTTCCTGAGAAGTACATTTTTGCCTCCAGTCTAATTTCATCACTTGTGAAATAATATCCATAATAACTGATGAGATGCTGAAAGTCACAGTGCAAAACACAAAAGAAGAAAATAGATATGGATGTGTTTCTACACCAGGTATGCTACACAAAGTCTAAATGGTGCAGAAATACTGAAATACTTAAATGAATCACGTACCTTCTGGATGCATCCAACAAAGGCAGATCGCACCCGGACCTGAGGCGAAACGACTCCGAAATTGGGCACACCCCCCAGATACATATTCTGCGGTAACGATAATTGAGTGAATGCCCCAGGGGCCAGCACTTCAACCGGCAACTGATTATCGACGGTCAAAATGGCCAAACGGCCCGTCCGGGAAAGGCGCACCTAGACGAGTAAAAAAAGAAATAAATTGGATTTTGGGTTAAAAGAAATTCAATTCAATTGGAAACTATATGATCCAAATCCAGAGGATAAATAACAATTTGTATGTATTGATTTATTTTTATATTTATACTTTCTCTTATAACTGTTAACTGTGTTGAGAAATATCCAATAAAATTACGACATAGTGTTGGTGATTATGGCCAAGTGAATTATTCATTGATTCTTTCTAAAACTTGAATAATTAATTCACAAATGTCTTGAACAGGTTTATGGTTAGTGAGTTATTGAAAGATAATGCCGCCACACTGTTGATTCTGACTTTGAGAAGGGTACAAATATTTAAGGCCAAACCATGGAAGACAAAGCAATATGGTTCCTAATCGATACTATTCTCGAAAACATCTCTGGTTTCTGAATTTAAAATATATTGAAAACATCTCAAAAATATCATCTGAATTACTAAAAAGTCTGAGGAAACATTGTGGCAATACTATCAGTATTTAATTCTTGTAAAATTTCGTTGTGATAGAAAGCTCAAATTTAAGTTTTTTCACTAAGTGTGTATCGTATATCAATGGATACTGTAATTTTAAGGTTGAACAATTTATTGTACATCAACTTTGAATTCACACATTATGTGTGTGGTACTTACTCACAATCTTTTATTTATTGGTTTAAGTTGTGGAAATATTAATTCATGTTCGATTCCTTTTCTATTACTTGGAAAGCTTTTGAAATTATTTTTATATGAAGCAATTTATCATAGAAACGCGCCAAAAACTCTTTATTGCAGCTTATCGGGACTTTCTTCTCAAAAAATCGTTAACGGAAAGTTCAAATTGATATCTCTTGTAAAAAGGTACAAAGATTATTGTACACAAAAAACGAAACATGAAAGAAAATCGCTTCATATAAGTTTATACTCGTCAAATTGTACCAATCGAACAAGTATTTTTCATTACTGCAAGCAAAAGTTGCATCATCTCTATCGTCGAACATAACTTTTATTTTGGAAAGAGATTTATCACTATCTTTCAATAACTTGCAATAGAACTTCGCAAATAATAAATAGGGGGATTATCATGAAAACTTTGGAGTATATTGCAAAAAATTTAAACTGTAGTTGTCGTTTTTCATATAGATAACAAGAATATCGTTAGCATAGGGTTAGCAATAAAATTGAGATTAAACTGGTAATTTTTTGTTAAAAGTATCTTCTTACTTCATGCCATTCGCTCAATATAACTCTTTCCTGGCTACGTATTATCGCCGCTCCAGTTCCCAAATCGTAAATAAACTCGACAAATCCGTCATTCAAGTAGAGTCCCATAAAATCGCCAGTGCCGTCAATTCGATGGCCGTTGTAAATTAGCAATCCATCAGACATGATGGGCTTGAAAGTCATTTCTAGATCGAGCCAAGTTAGAGCCGATTCTCCCAGTCCTCGGTAACGTAGATGGCTTGAGCCGTTGAAAGAAGGCACCTGAAAATATAATTTTAAACGAATGATAATAAACTTGCATTTATAGCTCTAGAGATTAACTGAGTCAAGTTGTTAATGCCATTTAAGGATGAATAATTCAAGTTTCAGTTCCCATTTGGCTCTTTAGAAAGGTATACATTGTATGTATTTCACCTGAGAACCAAGTTATGTTATAATACTTTATATTTCGATGCATGCGTCTAAATTTTATGTTTTAAATATACGACATTTACTCTGTAATCGTTTATTTACTGGCTCTCAACTCTGGAAGTTGTAAAGCTTTTCTGACAACAAAACAACTTGAGACGGGCGTATTTTGGCATTATTTTCTAAAACAAATAAAAAATATTAGGTACTTCTATGTTAAATACGAAATTCCCAATTCGCATTTAAATTTAGTCGTTCCAGAGATACCTAACCATCGGCTACCTAATGGAAAGTGACACTAATGTTTGTTTCGAGTAACGTAAACGTGTTACCGTTACTGTAAATTACCTGTAAATCCACCCTTATTTCGCAAAGGTCTCCCGAAAACCCCAACGGACATAAACAAACTGCTGAAGTTTCGCTGGTGAGACATTTCCCGCCGTGCTGGCACGGCACTCGACTGCATCTGTCAGCTGTGCATTCCTCTGTAAAGAAAAATAATAATTGTTATAAATGAGTGCATTATGTTGAAATATACGCTAAAATTTGCTTATACCAGTCTGCGGTGGTTAGATTGTAGTTTTGTTAGATGACAAAATGTATGTCAAAAGTAAGTAGTAAATAAAAATTATTTTGAAGAAGTATCTGCAGTTTTAAATAGTAACCATATAACAGGTTATGGGCCCAGATCCCTAGGGCGCCAAAGTATGAGTATAGCCAGCTATTTTTAAAAAGAAAATAATTATCAATGAAGCTTAATGACAATCAATGAAAAAATTAGCAGGGATTTCGATGAAACTGTCATGCAATTGAAGTGTTCTGGTGCACAGCTAACTGATGAAGACATGATTTGTACATGCAAAAAGGTACATGTTATAGATGTGGCGAATCCGGTCATTTCAAGGACTGCAAAAAATTCAATCACGTTAATAATCAACGATATGGACATGAACATGGATATTTTTATGGAAATCGAGATCGAGAAATGAATTTTCGTATAAACTATGGTGAGAGGTATGTTAATAATGAGCAAAGATAAATTTGGAAACATGACAATGGAGCAGATCAGAGATATGAAGACAGAGGTAGAGGATGTCAGAACTTGCTCAGTTGTTTTCACTTTTGTGAAATTGACGTGTCTCGTAATACCTGGTGTGCACGCGCAACTCGTGGGCAAGTTCCTTTGTTCATAATAAACTCAAATGATTTGAATCCTGCATTTGCTCAATCAATAAAAACGTCGGGAGTTTTTATTTATAAAAATTCTATGTACATCTTAATACAATTTGTCAGAGAGAATTTGAATAAATAAATATCACGCGAATACATCTCAAAATAACCCACTTTGAAGATGCATGTGTTGCAGTACACAAAGTCTGGCAATAACGTTTTTACCATTAAACAAGAACGAATTTCAGTTTCCGAGGCTTGGCACGATTTTCTTTGAGTGTTCGAGACTGAAGTTTCAAGATGTTACTTCGTCTTTAGGAAAAAGTTATTGACTATTTTTGTGGTTGGTATTATTTCTCTACTTATGCACTATAAAATAAATGGCAAATATTCCTAGAGTTTTGCATAATTTATGAAATATTAATACACATTATTTTAATAATATTGAATCAATTCGATCAAATTCCTGAAATAGGGCATCAATTATTATAAAGCCAGAAGAGTTTAAATCAACATCAAACTAAATGTGCACTCACCTATTTGTAATAATTATGTAATATTTTGTAGTGCGTATTAATGTTTGCTTTGTTTGTTGAACAATATTACCGCAAAACATATTATTTTATTTCGGAAAAAAGTGAAGCTAACAATGTGCGTTAGAGTTTATTTATTGCTGATTCGTTTTTCATAAACACAAATATTTGATATTGGAATAGTAAATATAAACATTTGTATGATTTTGAATCTGTTTTTGCATCATCAAATTTAATAAAACAAACGTTACAGTGTGAGTCACTATATTTTGACACCCACCTGCAGCCGTAATTACTAGTGATAGGTGAAAATTGTAAATACAAAATGTAATTACGGCTGCAGGTGGGTGTCAAAATATGGTGACTCACCCTTTCCATTACCGACACTCAAAAAAACAAATGTTTTCCTGCTACTGAGGTTGTAGATTTTCATCCTTCCGATGGGCTTGTGTGGAGAAATCACCCAAAATCTTGATTTTTCCTTACAAAGTTCCCCCTTATTTCAAACCTTTAGCCACCTGCAACACCCCCTTATTTGTTTTCACGAAGTCAGGTTTTATTAATTAATCCTTTGGTGAACGCGGCTTGCGAGAAAATATGGGAACTAGGACGTCTTTCATTTCTGTTACGGAAAATCGAATTTTCCATATGTTATCCCTAGGTAAAAATACCTTCATCCTACTCAAAATCGATGTACTTTTCAACCCTCTTCAAGGCTTGTATGCAAAAATAGGGCAACTAAATATGTCACTATCTGACGGTCTATTACGGTGAAATTTTATTGGAAAAAAGGAGAAACACCTGTTTGGTAGTGATTGATATAATGGCGGAACAGTAGTTGTTACTCGGATATTTTGAGTCAATAAATAAAATGAAGTAAAACTAATATAACAATTACAATTATTATTAAATTACCGTTTGCTTATATCTCAAATTGCGACGCAGGAATTCAGAATTACTGTTATGGCAAATTCCGATGATATAATAGCGCTGAATGAACTGATTTATGGCCATTAAGTTTCCACCTCTAATTTGTGGTGAAGGTGCAAATCAAAGCTGGAATCACAGAGCTTGCTGACTGCACGAAATATGCAATAATACTTAGTCTAGAATTATACCTCAATCTAGTCTCCACCAAGTTGAGATTCCTAATATAAAATTTGTCTTTGTACGTAATTCATAGTTGCACTGTTCCTATCTATTGCCAATTAATCTCATCTTTCTCGTCTAAGTCATCTTGGTTTTGGCCTGCCTATTCGCCTGCTTTGTTCAGGATAGTTTTTATTCATGTTATTATTTGGAATAGTCATGCTATATATTTCGCTTAAAGTCAAATAAATTACAATAATGTTTTATACTTAGTCATTTCACTTTACATCATAATCATTGCAATGGACGGTTAAATACTAAGTCTCAGTTTTCCTACATGTACTTACAATTTTTCCTTACCATCACTAAACTAGTCTTATAAAAATAAAACTGATAATACTTTTCGCGACTTCTTCATCATTTTTACGGACAAGATTTGTTTCTAGAAGCGAAATTATACCCTTTCTTTATATTGGCCCGAGACAATGTACTGTCTAATGACCACTATGTATTGTCTACCCTTAATCTTCGATGACTGTCGACACTAGACTCTCTTTCTACTTGATTGTGGTCCCTCGTGATACCCTGAACTCCATAAACTAAATTATTCTCAGATTTGAAGCCAAAATCTATGAAAAAAGGCACCCAGAATAATTGAAAAATTGATAAATCACCACAATTGCTTAGCACGATTTTATCTCAGGAACTATAAGTGTCAATGAGCTGAAATTTTCAGGAATTGTAGTCCTTTGAAAAGGATAATTTTCAGTGAAAGATTCAGCTTTCTATCTATAATAGAAAAAAAGTTATGACATTTCAAAGTTTTCCAAAAAAATCATAAGGTAGCTACCTTCTTTCTAAAACGATGAAATTTCAATTTTTTTTTTATCGAGATTTTGTGTCCTAATGGTCCCTCGTGATACCCTGAACTCCATAAACTAAATTATTCTCAGATTTGAAGCCGAAATCTATGAAAAAAAGCACTCAGAAAAATTGAAAAATTGATAAATCACCCCAATTGCTTAACACGATTTTATCTCAGAAACTATAAATGCAAATGAGCTGAAATTTTCAGGGATTGTAGTCCTTTGAGAAGGATAATTTTCAGTGAAAGATTCAGCTTTCTATCCATAATAGAAAAAAAGTTATGACATTTCAAAGTTTTCCAAAAAAATCATAAGGTAGCTACCTTCTTTCTAAAACGATGAAATTTCAATTTTTTTTTTGTCAAGATTTTGTGTCCTAATGGTCCCTCGTGATACCCTGAACTCCATAAACTAAATTATTCTCAGATTTGAAGCCGAAATCTATGAAAAAAGGCACTCAGAAAAATTGAAAAATTGATAAATCACCCCAATTGCTTAACACGATTTTATCTCAGAAACTATAAATGCAAATGAGCTGAAATTTTCAGGGATTGTAGTCCTTTGAGAAGGATAATTTTCAGTGAAAGATTCAGCTTTCTATCCATAATAGAAAAAAAGTTATGACATTTCAAAGTTTCCCAAAAAAATCATAAGGTAGCTACCTTCTTTCTAAAACGATGAAATTTCAATTTTTTTTTTGTCAAGATTTTGTGTCCTAATGGTCCCTGGTCCCTCGTGATACCCTGAACTCCATAAACTAAATTATTCTCAGATTTGAAGCCGAAATCTATGAAAAAAGGCACTCAGAAAAATTGAAAAATTGATAAATCACCCCAATTGCTTAACACGATTTTATCTCAGAAACTATAAATGCAAATGAGCTGAAATTTTCAGGGATTGTAGTCCTTTGAGAAGGATAATTTTCAGTGAAAGATTCAGCTTTCTATCCATAATAGAAAAAAAGGTATGACATTTCAAAGTTTTCCAAAAAAATCATAAGGTAGCTACCTTCTTTCTAAAACGATGAAATTTAAATTTTTTTTTTGTCAAGATTTTGTGTCCTAATGGTCCCCTCGTGATACCCTGAACTCCATAAACTAAATTATTCTCAGATTTGAAGCCGAAATCTATGAAAAAAGGCACTCAGAAAAATTGAAAAATTGATAAATCACCCCAATTGCTTAACACGATTTTATCTCAGAAACTATAAATGCAAATGAGCTGAAATTTTCAGGGATTGTAGTCCTTTGAGAAGGATAATTTTCAGTGAAAGATTCAGCTTTCTATCCATAATAGAAAAAAAGGTATGACATTTCAAAGTTTTCCAAAAAAATCATAAGGTAGCTACCTTCTTTCTAAAACGATGAAATTTCAATTTTTTTTTTGTCAAGATTTTGTGTCCTAATGGTCCCTCGTGATACCCTGAACTCCATAAACTAAATTATTCTCAGATTTGAAGCCGAAATCTATGAAAAAAGGCACTCAGAAAAATTGAAAAATTGATAAATCACCCCAATTGCTTAACACGATTTTATCTCAGAAACTATAAATGCAAATGAGCTGAAATTTTCAGGGATTGTAGTCCTTTGAGAAGGATAATTTTCAGTGAAAGATTCAGCTTTCTATCCATAATAGAAAAAAAGTTATGACATTTCAAAGTTTCCCAAAAAAATCATAAGGTAGCTACCTTCTTTCTAAAACGATGAAATTTCAATTTTTTTTTTGTCAAGATTTTGTGTCCTAATGGTCCCTGGTCCCTCGTGATACCCTGAACTCCATAAACTAAATTATTCTCAGATTTGAAGCCGAAATCTATGAAAAAAGGCA